TGTAACTAGTGGGTGTGTGTTGATGTAACTAGCAGGTGTGTGTTGGTGTAACTAGCGGGTGTGTGTTGGTGTAACTAGTGGGTGTGTGTGGGTGTAACTAGCGGGTGTGTGTTGGTGTAACTAGTGGGTGTGTTGATGTAACTAGCGGGTGTGTGTTGGTGTAACTAGCGGGTGTGTTGGTGTAACTAGCGGGTGTGTGTTGGTGTAACTAGTGGGTGTGTTGATGTAACTAGTGGGTGTGTGTTGATGTAACTAGTGGGTGTGTGTTGATGTAACTAGCGGGTGTGTTGATGTAACTAGTGGGTGTGTGTTGGTGTAACTAGCGGTGGGATATTTCCTCGCCGCGTTCAGTGCTTTTTCCAGTCATGTCAATTGCTCTAGTTTATGTTCTATATATGACCAACAATATTAAATGTTCCTGGGCAGTTTGGGAAGCTGTTAAGGAGTACCACCAACTAGCGAAGACGATGAAGATAACTGTAAATGGCGGTAAATGCACAATAAAGTAAACATTGAATGAGAGCAACATAAAAAGAAAAAGAAAAATTTGTGCTTCAATTACGTTAATTACAAAAAAGGACCTTATAAAAAATATTATAAATTACCTCAATTACTCAGAGCCTTGCTGACTGTTGAGTAGCAAAAATATATGAATTTTGGGTTTCATGTTATCTTGAGGTTATCTTGAGATGATTTCGGGGTTTTAGTGTCCCCGCGGCCCGGTCCTCGACCAGGCCTCCACCCCCAGGAAGCAGCCCGTGACAGCTGACTAACACCCAGGTACCTATTTTACTGCTAGGTAACAGGGGCATTCAGGGTGAAAGAAACTTTGCCCATTTGTTTCTGCCTCGTGCGGGAATCGAACCCGCGCCACAGAATTACGAGTCCTGCGCGCTATCCACCAGGCTACGAGGCCCTAGGCCCTATGTCTATGAATTTCCAGAACAAATTGGCAGAAACATTATTGTCTTTAAGAACATTGAAGATGGAGACATCGTGGAGAGTTAAGGAAGGAGGAACTAGACCCTTTTTCATCGTTAAGAAATAATTCCTTTAACGAAAGACTCAACGAACTCAAACTATTTTCCGTAACGAGGGGCAAATAACGAGAGGACATAATGTCAATTTTTAAGACATTGAAGAAATGTGATATACTTAAAATATTATTAAAGATGTAAGGCCACTTGGTAACAAGATATGAAGGACACTTTAATCATAATAGAGTAATATATTTATGATAACAATTTTAGGGGCAATGGAATGGAATTGAACTTGCGTCTGTAAAGCTATGCAACGGGAGAATTTAATGCAATACGAGACAAGGGAAGGATTTTTACCACGTGGAATAACTGATTCAATTATCTTGATAGACTGAAAATGCAGATACAACAATTAATAGATATTGATATCTATCAATTGTCTGAATAGTCTGTGGGTGGTAGTGGACACCATACCCATCCTGTGGGTGGTAGTGGACCCCATGCCCATCCTGTGGGTGGTAGTGGACCCCATACCCATCCTGTGGGTGGTAGTGGACCCCATGCCCATCCTGTGGGTGGTAGTGGACACCATACCCATCCTGTGGGTGGTAGTGGACCCCATACCCATCCTGTGGGTGGTAGTGGACCCCATGCCCATCCTGTGGGTGGTAGTGGACACCATACCCATCCTGTGGGTGGTAGTGGACCCCCATACCCATCCTGTGGGTGGTAGTGGACCCCATGCCCATCCTGTAGGTGGTAGTGGACCCCATACCCATCCTGTGGGTGTTAGTGGATCCCATACCCATCCTGTGGGTGTTAGTGGATCCCATACCCATCCTGTGGGTGGTAGTGGACCCCATACCCATCCTGTGGGTGGTAGTGGACACCATACCCATCCTGTGGGTGGTAGTGGACCCCATGCCCATCCTGTAGGTGGTAGTGGACCCCATACCCATCATGTGGGTGGTAGTGGACCCCCATACCCATCCTGTGGGTGGTAGTGGACCCCATACCCATCCTGTAGGTGGTAGTGGACCTCATACCCATCCTGTGGGTGGTAGTGGACCCCATGCCCATCCTATGGGTGGTAGTGGACCCCATGCCCATCCTGTGGGTGGTAGTGGACCCCATACCCATCCTGTGGGTGTTAGTGGATCCCATACCCATCCTGTGGGTGGTAGTGGACCCCATGCCCATCCTGTGGGTGGTAGTGGACCCCATACCCATCCTGTGGATGGTAGTGGACACAATACCCATCCTGTGGGTGGTAGTAGTCCCCATACCCATCCTGTGGGTGGTAGTGGACCCCATACCCATCCTGTGGGTGTTAATGGATCCCATACCCATCCTGTAGGTGGTAGTGGACCCCATACCCATCCTGTAGGTGATAGGGACCCCATACCCATCCTGTAGGTGATAGTGGACCCCATACCCATCCTGTGGGTGGTAGTGGACACTACACCCATCCTGTGGGTGGTAGTGGACCCCATACCCATTCTGTGGGTGATAGTGGACCCCATACCCATCCTGTGGGTGGTAGTGGACACCATACCCATCCTGTGGGTGGTAGTAGACCCCACAGTGGGGGTCAGTACCACGGGGGGAGCCAGTGCCAGAGGGGCTCAGAGCCAGGGAGCTCAGTGCCAGGGGGTTCAGTACCAGGGGGCTCAGTGCCAGGGGGCTCAGTACCAGGGGGCTCAGTACCAGGGAGCTCAGTACCAGGGGGCTCAGTACCAGGGGGCTCAGTACCAGGGGGCTCAGTACCAGGGGGCTCAGTACCAGGGGGTTCAGTACCAGGGGGTTCAGTACCAGGGGACTCAGTACCAGGGGCTCAGTACCAGGGGACTCAGTACCAGGGGACTCAGTACCAGGGGGCTCAGTACCAGGGGGCTCAGTACCAGGGGACTCAGTACCAGGGGACTCAGTGCCAGAGGGCTCAGTACCAGGGGGCTCAGTACCAGGGGGCTCAGTACCAGGGGACTCAGTACCAGGGGGCTCAGTACCAGGGGGCTCAGTACCAGGGGGCTCAGTACCAGGGGACTCAGTACCAGGGGGCTCAGTACCAGGGGACTCAGTGCCAGGGGGCTCAGTACCAGGGGACTCAGTACCAGGGGACTCAGTACCAGGGGGCTCAGTACCAGGGGGCTCAGTACCAGGGGGCTCAGTACCAGGGGACTCAGTACCAGGGGGCTCAGTACCAGGGGGCTCAGTACCAGGGGGCTCAGTACCAGGGGGCTCAGTACCAGGGGACTCAGTGCCAGGGGGCTCAGTACCAGGGGGCTCAGTACCAGGGGGCTCAGTACCAGGGGGCTCAGTACCAGGGGGCTCAGTACCAGGGGGCTCAGTACCAGGGGACTCAGTACCAGGGGGCTCAGTACCAGGGGGCTCAGTACCAGGGGGCTCAGTACCAGGGAGCTCAGTACCAGGGGGCTCAGTACCAGGGGACTCAGTACCAGGGGGCTCAGTACCAGGGGGCTCAGTACCAGGGGGCTCAGTACCAGGGAGCTCAGTATCAGGGAGCTCAGTACCAGGGGGCTCAGTACCAGGGGGCTCAGTACCAGGGAGCTCAGTACCAGGGGGCTCAGTACCAGGGAGCTCAGTACCAGGGGGCTCAGTACCAGGGGGCTCAGTACCAGGGAGCTCAGTACCAGGGGGCTCAGTACCAGGGGGCTCAGTACCAGGGGGCTCAGTACCAGGGAGCTCAGTATCAGGGAGCTCAGTATCAGGGAGCTCAGTACCAGGGGGCTCAGTACCAGGGGGCTCAGTACCAGGGGGCTCAGTACCAGGGGACTCAGTACCAGGGGACTCAGTACCAGGGGACTCAGTACCAGGGGGCTCAGTACCAGGGGACTCAGTGCCAGGGGGCTCAGTACCAGGGGACTCAGTACCAGGGGACTCAGTACCAGGGGACTCAGTACCAGGGGACTCAGTACCAGGGGGCTCGGTACCAGGGGGCTCAGTACCAGGGGACTCAGTACCAGGGGGCTCAGTACCAGGGGGCTCAGTACCAGGGGACTCAGTGCCAGGGGGCTCAAGATCTAATGGGCAAGATCTAAAGGGCAAGATCTAAGGGGCAAGATCTAAAGGGCAAGATCTAAGGAGCAAGATCTAAGGGGCAAGATCTAAGGGGCAAGATCTAAAGGGCAAGATCTAAGGAGCAAGATCTAAGGGGCAAGATCTAAAGGGCAAGATCTAAGGAGCAAGATCTAAGGGGCAAGATCTAAGGGGCAAGATCTAAAGGGCAAGATCTAAGGAGCTAGATCTAAGGGGCAAGATCTAAGGGGCAAGATCTAAGGAGCAAGATCTAAGGAGCAAGATCTAAGGGGCAAGATCTAAGGGGCAAGATCTAAAGGGCAAGATCTAAGGAGCTAGATCTAAGGGGCAAGATCTAAGGGGCAAGATCTAAGGGGCAAGATCTAAGGAGCAAGATCTAAGGGGCAAGATCTAAGGGGCAAGATCTAAAGGGCAAGATCTAAGGAGCTAGATCTAAGGGGCAAGATCTAAGGGGCAAGATCTAAGGGGCAAGATCTAAAGGGCAAGATCTAAGGAGCTAGATCTAAAGGGCAAGATCTAAGGAGCAAGATCTAAGGGGCAAGATCTAAGGGGCAAGATCTAAAGGGCAAGATCTAAGGAGCTAGATCTAAGGGGCAAGATCTAAGGAGCAAGATCTAAGGAGCAAGATCTAAGGAGCAAGATCTAAGGGGCAAGATCTAAGGGGCAAGATCTAAGGAGCAAGATCTAAGGGGCAAGATCTAAGGAGCAAGATCTAAGGGGCAAGATCTAAGGAGCAAGATCTAAGTGGCAAGATCTAAGGAGCAAGATCTAAGGGGCAAGATGTAAGGGGCAGAAAACCCATTTATAAATAGAAGACACATTAATAGTATTTAATAGTAATATCATATATGACAGAGATAATATTGATAGTAATAGGAAATAGGGAAACAGATATAATAGTGATAATGGCAGTAATAGGTAAAATAGATAATGGTGTGGGAAGCTGGTGATCCATAGACCTAGATGGCTATGTGGTCACCCATCCAGGTACTGGTCATAGCAGACTGTATTTAACTCGACTGACCGACAGATGGACCCGTGTTTATACATAGACATACATAACGCTCATCCATCCATGCATACATGTATGCAAATACTCTTGCATACGTACATGCATACACACATTTGTACAGACATACATATGTACACTTACACATATACATACATACATTCAAACATCAACAATATTTCAGACATCAACCAACACTTCAGACATCAACCAACACTTCAGACATCAACCAACACTTCAGACATCAACCAACACTTCAGACATCAACCATCACTTCAGACATCAACCAACACTTCAGACATCAACCATCACTTCAGACATCAACCATCACTTCAGACATCAACCAACACTTCAGACATCAACCAACACTTCAGACATCAACCATCACTTCAGACATCAACCATCACTTCAGACATCAACCAACACTTCAGACATCAACCAACACTTCAGACATCAACCAACACTTCAGACATCAACCAACATTTCAGACATCAACACTTCAGATATCAACCAACACTTCAGACATCAACCAACACTTCAGACATCAACCAACACTTCAGACATCAACCAACACTTCAGACATCAACCAACACTTCAGACATCAACACTTCAGATATCAACCAACACTTCAGACATCAACACTTCAGATATCAACCAACACTTCAGACATCAACACTTCAGATATCAACCAACACTTCAGACATCAACCAACACTTCAGACATCAACACTTCAGATATCAACCAACACTTCAGACATCAACCAACACTTCAGACATCAACAAACACTTCAGACATCAACACTTCAAACATCAACCAACACTTCAGACATCAACCATCACTTCAGACATCAACCAACACTTCAGACATCAACCATCACTTCAGACATCAACCAACACTTCAGACATCAACCAACACTTCAGACATCAACCAACACTTCAGACATCAACACTTCAGATATCAACCAACACTTCAGACATCAACCAACACTTCAGACATCAACCAACACTTCAGACATCAACACTTCAGATATCAACCAACACTTCAGACATCAACACTTCAGACATCAACCAACACTTCAGACATCAACACTTCAGATATCAACCAACACTTCAGACATCAACCAACACTTCAGACATCAACCAACACTTCAGACATCAAACAACACTTCAGACATCAACCAACACTTCAGACATCAACCAACACTTCAGACATCAACCATCACTTCAGACATCAACCAACACTTCAGACATCAACACTTCAAACATCAACCAACACTTCAGACATCAACCAACACTTCAGACATCAACCAACACTTCAGACATCAACCAACACTTCAGACATCAACCAACACTTCAGACATCAACCAACACTTCAGACATCAACCAACACTTCAGACATCAACCAACACTTCAGACATCAACCATCACTTCAGACATCAACCAACACTTCAGACATCAACCAACACTTCAGACATCAACCAACACTTCAGACATCAACCAACACTTCAGACATCAACAAACACTTCAGACATCAACCAACACTTCAGACATCAACGAACACTTCAGACATCAACCAACTCTTCAGACATCAACCAACACTTCAGACATCAACCAACACTTCGGACATCAACCAACACTTCAGACATCAACCAACACTTCAGACATCAACCAACACTTCAGACATCAACCATCACTTCAGACATCAACCAACACTTCAGACATCAACCAACACTTCAGACATCAACACTTCAGACATCAACCAACACTTCAGACATCAACCAACACTTCAGACATCAACACTTCAGACATCAACCAACACTTCAGACATCAACCAACACTTCAGACATCAATGTAAAAGTTGAAGTCTGTCAGAATTTTCCTTCTTTCAAATCTTCTCTTGACATTAAGGAGAAAAGTTCTTAGCAACTGTCAAAAACTCTTCTTGTGAGCCGCCGTGAGGAGTGAGTAGTAGGCCTTCAGTCGTCACGCTTTGTTGAGTTACCAGGCTCTGTAGAGCCCCCTAGCGTGACGGCTCTCTAACTGGCCCCACACGGTCTGTTACACACCCAGGACGCTATGTTACAGGCTCTGTAGAGCCCCCTAGCGTGACGGCACTCTTACTGGCCCCACACGCTCTGTTACACACCCAGCAGGCTCTGTAGAGCCCCCTAGCGTGACGGCTCTCTTACTGGCCCCACACGCTCTGTTACACACCCAGCAGGCTCTGTAGAGCCCCCTAGCGTGACGGCACTCTTACTGGCCCCACACGCTCTGTTACACACCCAGCAGGCTCTGTAGAGCCCCCTAGCGTGACGGCTCTCTTACTGGCTCCACACGCTATGTTACACACCCAGGATGCTATGTTACAGGCTCTGTAGAGCCCCCTAGCGTGACGGCTCTCTTACTGGCCCCACACGCTCTGTTACACACCCAGCAGGCTCTGTAGAGCCCCCTAGCGTGACGGCACTCTTACTGGCTCCAGACGCTCTGTTACACACCCAGCAGGCTCTGTAGAGCACCCTAGCGTGACGGCTCTCTTACTGGCCCCACACGCTCTGTTACACACCCAGCAGGCTCTGTAGAGCCCCCTAGCGTGACGGCTCTCTTACTGGCCCCACACGCTCTGTTACACACCCAGCAGGCTCTGTAGAGCCCCCTAGCGTGACGGCACTCTTACTGGCCCCACACGCTCTGTTACACACCCAGCAGGCTCTGTAGAGCCCCCTAGCGTGACGGCTCTCTTACTGGCTCCAGACGCTCTGTTACACACCCAGCAGGCTCTGTAGAGCACCCTAGCGTGACGGCACTCGTACTGGCTCCACACGCTCTGTTACACACCCAGCAGGCTCTGTAGAGCCCCCTAGCGTGATGGCTCTCTAACTGGCTCCACACGCTCTGTTACACACCCAGCAGGCTCTGTAGAGCACCCTAGCGTGACGGCACTCGTACTGGCTCCACACGCTCTGTTACACACCCAGCAGGCTCTGTAGAGCCCCCTAGCGTGATGGCTCTCTAACTGGCTCCACACGCTCTGTTACACACCCATCAGGCTCTGTAGAGCCCCCTAGCGTGACGGCTCTCTTACTGGCCCCACACGCTCTGTTAGCTACGCAAGACGCAAGATTAGAGACCCAAGACGCAGTGTTAGAGACGCAAGACGCAAGATTAGAGACCCAAGACGCAGTGTTAGAGACGCAAGATTAGAGACCCAAGACACAGTGTTAGAGACGCAAGATTAGAGACCCAAGACGCAAGATTAGGTACCCAAGACGCAAGATTAGAGACCCAAGACGCAGTATTAGGTACCCAAGACGCAGTGTTAGGTACCCAAGACGCAAGATTAGAGACCCAAGACACAGTGTTAGAGACGCAAGACGCAAGATTAGAGACCCAAGACGCAAGATTAGGTACCCAAGACGCAAGATTAGGTACCCAAGACGCAGTGTTAGGTACCCAAGACGCAAGATTTGAGACCCAAGACGCAGTATTAGGTACCCAAGACGCAAGATTAGAGACCCAAGACGCAGTATTAGGTACCCAAGACGCAGTATTAGGTACCCAAGACGCAAGATTAGAGACCCAAGACACAGTGTTAGCTACGCAAGACGCAAGATTAGAGACCCAAGACGCAGTATTAGCTACCCAAGACGCAAGATTAGAGACCCAAGACGCAGTGTTAGAGAGGGAGTACAGTCCGCATATTACTGACGAAGGCACTATGCTACAGACCGGGTGCATATCTGGCAATATTGGCCCAAAAGGCTCCGTTTGTAATACATTAACGGCACCCAGAGAATTGGCACAGTGTAGGGTAGGGAACTATCAGGAAAAAAGCGCCAAGCCATTACGACTATATACACCACTGGGAAGGGGTCAGGATAAGGATTTGGGATGGGATGGGGGAAAGGAATGGTGCCCAACCACTTGAAGGGTCGGGGGATTGAACGCCGACCTGCATGACGCCAGACCGTCGCCCTACCGTCCAGCCCAAGCTAAATAAATTGAACTAAAGTTAACTGTCCCTAACCTAGCTGTTCCTAAGTTAGCCAGAAACTTAGAGAGAGCTGCTAGCCAAAAAGGGCAGGGCTAAGGAGCTAAAGCTCGACTCTGTCGAGTATGTCTTAAGTAAACACTAGCACATGCATCCATCCAACCATATCAAATCATCTCCAGTTGGATAATTACGAAACAATTATATTAGCCAATTGTCTACTTAATGAGGTATTTAAGCCAACAAACAATCCATTAGAGATAATGGGTGAGACCATTGTTGGCAGTGGGCCACAGTGTCTATCTTCCCATTAGTTAAAACTCATCATTCTCATCTGACTGTGTAGATTAGTTGAGCTGCGTGGGTGGGTATGTGGGTGGATGTGTGTGGGTGTGTGTGTGTGTGGGTGTGTACTCACCTAATTGTACTCACCTAATTGTGCTTGCGGGGGTTGAGCTCTGGCTCTTTGGTCCCGCCTCTCAACCGTCAATCAACTGGTGTACAGATTCCTGAGCCTATTGGGCTCTATCATATCTACATTTGAAACTGTGAATGGAGTCAGCCTCCACCACATCACTTCCTAATGCATTCCATTTGCTAACTACTCTGACACTGAAAAAGTTCTTTCTAACGTCTCTGTGGCTCATTTGGGTACTCAGCTTCCACCTGTGTCCCCTTGTTCGCGTCCCACCAGTGTTGAAAAGTTCGTCCTTGTTTACCCGGTCGATTCCCCTGAGGATTTTGTAGGTTGTGATCATGACCCCCCTTACTCTTCTGTCTTCCAGTGTCGTGAGGTGCATTTCCCGCAGCCTTTCCTCATAACTCATGCCTCTTAGTTCTGGGACTAGTCTAGTAGCATACCTTTGGACTTTTTCCAGCTTCGTCTTGTGCTTGACAAGGTACGGGCTCCATGCTGGGGCCGCATACTCCAGGATTGGTCTTACATATGTGGTGTACAAGATTCTGAATGATTCCTTACACAGGTTCCTGAACGCCGTTCTGATGTTAGCCAGCCTCGCAGTGTGTGTGTGTGTGTGTGTGTGTGTGTGTGTGTGTGTGTGTGTGTGTGTGTGTGTGTGTGTGTGTGTGTGTGTGTGTGTGTGTGTGGTGTGTGTGTGTGTGTGTGTGTGTGTGTGTGTGTGTGTGTGTGTGTGTGTGTGTGTGTGTGTGTGTGTGTGTGTGTGTGTGTGTGTGTGTGTGTGTGTGTGTGTGTGTGGGTGTGTGGGTGTGTGTTTGTGTGTGTGTGTGTGTGTGTGTGTGTGTGTGTGTGTGTGTGTGTGTGTGTGTGTGTGTGTGTGTGTGTGTGTGTGGGTGTGTGTGTGGTGTGTGTGTGTGTGTGTGTGTGTGTGTGTGTGTGTGTGTGGTGTGTGTGTGTGTGTGTGTGTGTGTGTGTGTGTGTGTGTGTGTGTGTGTGTGTGTGTGTGTGTGTGTGTGTGTGTGTGTGTGTGTGTGTGGGTGTGTGTGTGTGTGTGTGTGTGTGTGTGTGTGTGTGTGTGTGTGTGTGTGTGTGTGTGTGTGTGTGTCTTAGTGCGGAAGGCGTATGGTGAGGTATTATTTTAGCTTTCAATGTTATTTGTATATAAGTATTGAGGTGTTTTGTATTTTGTTGTATACTCTCTTGTACATCCATACATTCACTCACAAATACACCCATACAACCACTCGAGTTTCTAAACACCCACCCACAAACAGCCATCCCCCATACCCACACACACACTTCCAGAAACGCACCCACCAACACCCACCCCAACACCCCCACCAACACCCACCAACACCCCCACCAACACCCCCACCACCAACACCCCCACCACCAACACCCCCACCACCAACACCCCCACCACCAACACCCCCACCAACACCCCCACCACCAACACCCCCACCACCAACACCCCCACCACCAACACCCCCACCAACACCCCCACCACCAACACCCCCACCACCAACACCCCCACCACCAATACCCCCACCAACACCTCCCACAATACCCCCACCAACACCTCCCACAATACCCCCACCAACACCACCCACAATACCCCCACCAACACCCACCAACACCCTCACCAACCACCACCAACACCCCCACCATCACCCCCACACTAACCCCTCCACCGTCTCCTCCACCAACACCTCTAACACCCACCACTACCAACACCCACCACCACCACTACCAACACCCCCACCACCACCAACACCCCCCCCCAACACCCCCCCCACCAACACCACCACCACTACCAACACCAACACCACCACCACCAACACCCCCACCACCACCACCACCAACACCCCCACCAACACCCCCACCAACACCCCCACCATCACCACCAACACCCCCACCACCACCAACACCACCAACACCACCACCAACCCCCACCAACACCCCCACCAACACCCCCACCAACACCCCCACCATCACCACCAACACCCCCACCACCACCAACACCACCAACACCACCAACACCACCACCAACCCCCACCAACACCCCACCAACACCCCCACCAACACCCCCACCATCACCACCAACACCCACCAACACCACCAACACCACCAACACCCCCACCACCACCAACACCACCAACACCACCAACACCCCCACCACCAACACCCCCACCACCACCAACCCCCCCACCAACACCCCCACCACCAACACCCCCACCACCAACACCACCAACACCACCACCAACCCCCACCAACACCCCCACCATCACCACCAACACTAACCCCTCCACCGTCTCCTCCCCCAGGCCTGAAGACGATCATCAACGCGCTACTCAACAGCATCAAGCAGCTGGTGGAGGTGATGACGCTGACGGTGTTCTGTCTCATGGTGTTCGCCCTCTTCGCCCTCCAGGTCTACATGGGTGTTCTCAAGA